TGGAGTTCGTGTTCACACTTTTTCTACCTTCCCCTCCGAATGATGAAGGTTTAACGAAGCTTTGCGATTTGATGTTTCAAAATATTTTACATTTGTTTCCAATGAAACATGTCCTTACACACCATAGACCTAAGTGTGATTGCACAATTACATTGCAATGCGTGCAGTCGGCCTCGTCACTTGTTCCCACCAGAACAATGTTTTGGGGGATCCTTCTTCCACTCACAAACTCAACGATCGTCACCAAATCACCTCACCTGACTACCTATACCTTATTGAAGCACTGACAACCGCGATGCACTGCTGAAGTATAAAAGAAGTTATTGTAATACTATAAGAGTGACACAGCTGCTGACTACTGGGAAATACAGAAGATTGATCTTACTAATTGTATCTGCCACTTGACGCGAGTTTACGGCCTCCGTTGTCACACGCCCTTCTAATGGTTAAATGGTAAGAATACAAAAAGAGACAGCTTTAGTGATTCTGTGATGATTTATATATCAGACAGCCGATGGGCTTGCCAGGAATCATGATTTATAAGCGTCACTTTTCAGGATATAACCTTCCACGGGCCTCAAACAATATCAGTTCTGTTCATTTACAGCTAAAGTAACAAAAAATAGATAAGGATTTAAGCAGACGTTGTAGTAACAGCCTTCATTTTCATAGGCTTACCTCTTTCCTGTTACAGAAGTTGGATCAGGTGTCTACATAGGTGCCCCAAAGGGCACCAGAGTTGGATCTAGTGCACTCAGTAATCAGCACTCTGTAACAGAACTGAGCTGACACGATTATATCATCTCTCATTCCTGCAGCAGGCAGGAAGAAGCATTTCCTCAGTCTCCTCTTCCCCAATGATTAGGTTGCAACATTGTAACTGTATAGCAAATGACAAGTGAGAGGCTACAGCTGGGTCTGATCATTTGTGAACACAGCTAAGTACTGCACAGTGACCAGACCTGCGTAGAACAGTTCTCAGGGCCGGTTCACAACATAAAGAGTGCATTCCAAAGCGTTCGGCCTCTGAAACGCACCGCGGCTGGCTCCCTGCGTTCAGGGGTGGGAAGGGGGCATGGTGGTGCGTTGAAGTCAATGGCACCACAGCCACGCCCCCCGCCCGTGGTGCGACCGCCGGCACCCGAATGTGTGACACATTAGTGGCTGTGTTCCAGGGCAGTGTGATCTGCAAAAGTTTGGCATGCAGCATTTTTGCAGATCGCACTGGACCAGGACACAGGTTCTAATGTGCCACGCGTTCGAGTGCTGGCAATCGCACTGCGGGTGGGGGGCGTGGCTGCATTACCATTGACTTCAATGCACCGCCATGCCCCCTCACGACTCTGAACGCAGGGAGCCAGACGGGTTGCTGTTCAGTGCGCTCCAGAGGCCGAACGCTCTGGAACACACTCTTTATGGTGTGAACCGGCCCTCAGAGTCTTGCCGGCTGCATCAGAGTGGGTGGAGTCTTGGAGTGTTTACACTTAGAATGTGGCCATTTTTCTCAATTTGTTTGCTGTACACACCAAATAGATGCCTGAACAAAGATGGCTCTGATCTTTTGGGGAGAAGCTGCACATACACGTGCAGCCTCCAGCAGACCAGCGGAGTACAGCTCAGCCACAGAAATGTAAGAGCCGGCAGTGCTGGCAGTGGCAAGGATCACACAGTGAAGATCATTGAAGCATGGGGGGAAAAAGGGGGGGGTGGTAGGTGTTTTACTAGGGGGGGTCAACTCAAAGGACAACTTCATTAAAAAGGTAAACATATTAGTAACTGGCACCGTTAAAACAACTTCTTAAAATCAGTAAATGCATTCTGCTTTTTTATATGTCACCAAATATCTGTAGACATGAACGAATAATTAACACTGTTCCGCTGCCAGCCGGCCCAATTCACCCCACAATGTTTTTTCGCTTCTGGCACGGTTGTTTTTAGAACAATAGCAGTGCTAAATTTTTCATTACAGGAATTTACAGCACCAAACAACTTATACGTGAGTAGATTTTCAATGTCCATATACAACTGTCACTGTGATATTTTGGCATGTTTGTTATAAATTTAAATTCTCATTTATCACAACAACAACAACAACAACAACAACAACAACAACAACAAAAAGACACACAAAAAAAAACAACCCTTAAAATGAGTTTCTTACCTTTAACCACAACCTAACCCCCAATTCTAAAGCCATCCTGGGCAATGTAAACTGAGCATATGATAAAAAACACATAAGCAGAGGTCAACTATACAGGATAAAGCTGGATTTGTTCACAAATTTCATATTTTCCTGTAAAAGTCACACTTAGTTCACCTCTTCTGCCTACAAAGCCTCCCGTTAATAAATACGGCCAACCATCACAAATGACCAATAAGGTAAGAACGGGCAAGGCTGGGCTCTATTACAAAAAAAGTTATGATGTGCCCATCACCAAGATGGCCGCCGGCAGGCGTCAATCAGGTGCCCGCACACGCACGATGATGACACGGCGGGGTGCGTCACCCGGCCTTGGGACGCCCCGGCCTGTATTTGACCTGCTAGAGCCGCTTTTGCATTCCCATAGACGAGGATGGGGAAAAGCTGTTCTAAAGCAGCAAAAGCATGTCTCTAGGGGCCCTAAAACAGTTACATTATGTGTTTGTCAGCAGTTTATTACACTGATTGGCTGGAGACGTCATAACAAATGGCTCAGCGTGCTAAATAAATGAATGCAATACATGAAATATATCAGGACTTCAAACTGGGTGAAATTCAGTCCTGGTACAAATCTCAGTACTAGTGAAAAAAAAAGACTAACAGATAAAAACATGAAAACCGATTCAGCCAAACTGATAGATAAATAAAAAAGCACTTCACACTTTGCAACACTGTCATTCTCCCATCACCTCAGTAACACGACATTCCCATTAATCATGACAGATACCTGCTTTCATTATCATAGCCTGAGCTAATTAACTCCGCTGATCAATACAGCTTCTCAATTTTAATCAGTATTCTGGACGAGACAGACCATCCGCACCATCTACAACGTCAATTATCTTTCTGTATTACATCAATTAAACTGGTATTAACGTTCACAAAGGTTATATATATATATATATATAGAATACACCCCTTGGATGTTAATGCCCAATTAATAATTACATTACACCAATGTCGACTTACCATTTGATTTTTGATTTTTTTTTTTTAAACAGATGTCAAGCGTAGTAAATTACGTTGCATAAAATATTTCACCGCCGCACACAATAGTGTTTGCCGTTTTATAGCCTTCAGGAGAAAATATTAACCATTGTAGCAACCACACAAACAGGGGCACAGTATTATATGCATACAGTGTGTGTGTGTGTGTGTGTGTGTATCCGTATATATATGTTTACTTATTTACTAAGTTACTAAGTTTAAAATAATATGCTGAACATGAATATTTCATTTTAAATGTCCAGTTGCAGGTGGTGCTCCATATAACACAGATTTGTATATAAAAGTGGAAACAAAAAAGAAAAAAAGATATAAAAACAATTTTACATTTTTTTAAAACAAATTCAAAATCATGAACGTTTGGGTCTGTGAAGGTTCTCATTCATCCAGGTCAGGGTATATCTGTAAGAAATAAAACAAGGCAACTGGACTTGCTCTGTTTTTCTTGAAGACGTTTCGCTGGTCATCAGACTAGCTTTCTCAATTCAGAATTGAGAACGCTAGTCGGATGACCAGTGAAACATCATCACCTCCCTTATCCTGTACATCTGTAGACTGACCCCTTTATCTCCATCATCCCACTGTATGTGACCTGTACATTAACCCCTTCAACTCCTCCTCCCTGTCTATTCATTTATTGTACTTTGTGTACCATTACCAAGCTCCATGTTTGTACTTCAATACTGGCATGCTTCTTAATTTCCCCAAAAATTGCTTTGAGGGAGGTCTTTAAACCCTTGAAACGCGTCGGCTGTTCTTTACAGTCCTTCATGAACCCATTGAAATATTAAACGTTTTTGGACTCTCATTCTGTCTTAACACTCTCACTGGACCGTATACATGTGTATCTTAAGCCATGGGTTCCCTTGTATGTGGCACATACTGTTTTTGTTGAGAGCCGCCTCAATGGAGCCATTGTCCGATCTTCTGAATATATGAATCCAGCGCCTCACCTGTACTTATTCATGGATCAGGGACGCAGGACTGAATGGCCTCCCTCCCATGGGCAAACAGAACGGCTGTGGGGGCACACAGGAAAGCGGAGTATAAGCAAAAGTTAGGGCTGCCGTTGGTTCACTTTAATAAAGACCTGGACACTTGCCAGGCTCACATATTACTTTACGATAAACAAGCAGCCCTCATCGGTCCATCTGTCTGCTCCCCCCTCCTTGTGCTTGCATGCTGAGCTGTATACCTAAAAAGCTGCAGCTGCAATGCTTGGAGTGTGTGGTGTACCGGTAGCTCCCCAGTCTCAGTCACAGAATGGTAATGAAGGGGATCAGGTCAGGAAATTCTTACAGTATATTGCCGTGATCTGGCTTAAAAAAAAAAAAAAAAAAAAACTTTAAATAACATGCATCACAGATCCCTTAACTCTGCATGTGAAGTACTTCTTCAAAAGGGACCTTTGGCCCTTTCGCGACCACAGACGTACCTAGTACATCGGTGGCAGCACGGCCCTGTAAACAAGCCGCCGGGACTCTGTTTACCTTTG